AAAGGTATTTTTTTGGAAAGGTGCTTTTCTGCCTTTTTTCAAGGGTAACCTTTTAAATTCTATGATTTTCATTTCCAACCAACCCTTTTTTGACTCCCGACCTCAAAAAAAGGACATTGCCAATAAAAAACAGGAGGATGTGAAGACTTGTTCCAAAACAGCACTGAAAATGTGCGAGTGCGATTCAATGTCACCCAAACATCAACGCAGCGATGGTCAAACTCCACAGTGTGACATCAATATCAGACTGAGCAGTACCGTACTGCACCCAATGCACTACATACAACCGTGTATGGAGTGCCATAGGGAAACAAAAAATACAAACATGTACATGCATACACACGAACACTGTACGGTGTCTTGACAATGACTCGGACAAGTTGTTGTGTTGTGTACCAATTACAATATTTCTCTGTACTCGGCTGGAAACAAAAACACTCTAGGTACTCAATATAAAAACAAGTGACAAGTGTACATGTACATAGTGCATTTTGCCTGGTTTATTCAGTCATCTATATGGCAGCAGCATGGATTTTTTTCTTGAGGATTTTTGTTTTGATCGATTGACCCTCCTTCAATTGAAAAGAGAAGGGTGCCCTATTGTTTAAAGAGCCCCTCTTAGGAAAACATGTTTTCTCTGATTTTATCTCTTCAAATAAATATGAAAGCATCCAAATCCAACGCAATTGTCCTTTGTCTTCAGAGTTCAACTGTAACAAGCTAAAAAGGTGGTTTTTTTCTGTTCATGCCAAGATGCGAATTCTGAATGTAGATTGCATCATTCAGAGAAACACAGAGAAAACAAGGGGAACCCTTACCCTGTGTTTGTAGTGGATAAACCCTTGTGCAAGCCAAACAATGGCTACAAACAATGGCCACATACACTGTTTGCTGTGATGTTATCCAGGGATGACATGGCTCAGTGCGTGGGCATAGTTCATATTGGATGCCCAGAATTCCAATTTAACTTATTGGAAACATTTCCGAGAAAAGGGTTGACATACATAAAAATGAATCCCAAAGAAAAAAAAATTCGGGGCAAGAAAATATTACAGTTTTAAAAATCCAGCAGGTTTTTTGTTGAAACAACAAATGTAACATTAATGCATTCTTCACGGATGATTTTTGCTGAGGAGTAAACATGTAGATATACTCATTAGCGTAAAACCAAAAAAGAAGCAAATAATAGAGGAACCAAATAATAGAGGAACCAAATAATAGAGGAACCAAATAATAGAGGAACCAAATAATAGAGGAACCAAAATTGGGAAATGAGCTTGATCTAGATACAAAGGTGCATTTTGAAGGTGTTTTTTGAAAATTGGCACTGTAGTGACCCTTTAAAGTATCTTTTTTGTTCTCATTGTCGTCAGTGTATGAATTAAACATGCTCAACCCTAAGGCTGTATCCTTCTAATACACCGTGTACAAGTGCATCAGACAACATGTCAGAGAAGTTCAAGAGGCATAATGATCAGATTTGTGTCCTTGCCACCAAATTTAATATCCAAGTATTTAGGCACAAGTCTTAAAAAAAAAATCCTGAGTGAGAGCATTAATAAGAAAACGCCCTTCCGGCACCAGACTATATATATGGGTCGGTAATAAAAAATACAGGTGTTTAATATATGCATAACTGTGTTTGGTTGGAGGTGAGTTATGATAAACAGCCAGCTTTTTTCTTTTTTTCTTCCTTCCTTTTTTTTTCCCAAGGGTATACGTACATGTATGCTTTGTTGGCCAGATGCCCTTCCGGTGACAAGGTTTGTGCATGCAAGCTAGCAGTGCAAACAAGCACATCTCAATGGATCTGTGGGGGAAAAAACCTTATCCCTTTGCTTCCAAGCACAGATAAGTCCTGGCACGGATAAAAGGAGTTTCCTTTTTTAAACCCTCTGCGATGCTTGCTCTGATGAGCTAAAAATACTCTTGAATTATTTATGACAATGACTTTTTCAACTCGGAACCCTTGAGTGCTATTTGTTTTCTTATTATAAGAATTTTGAAGGGCAAAATTCCTAGGTTAAACATCTACATCTCTCTGATGCCTCCCCCATCATCATCTACATCTATTTCTGTCGTTTGTATTTGCAGATGAGCATTGGATTGGATCTGTCCCTCTGTCGTGACATATTTCTAGGTACAGACAAATCCGAGGGTCCGTTTACACTCATGCAGCTGTCTCACCCTGAGCGCGCGCACTTTGGCAATGGACTACTGCCTATTGGTCAAAGTGGAATTTCACGCCTGCGCACTGCCTGCGTGCGACAAGGATGGCCCCGTGGTAATGGCTTCTAGTTTTGGTTGCCGGATTTGTCTACACTAGAATCTGTAACATAATGCTTTGTTTACATATGTGTACATGTGCACTTTCCTATGGCAGCAAGTCGCGACTGGATCAATCAAGTCCCCTTAAGAAGGTGCGCACATGAACAAAGCTTGACGTCATTATGCTTTGGGTCTGTTGATGAGTTCCAGTATGCCTGCGACCCATTCTGACTGGTCAGCTTTCAAATCTGTCATTCATAGGCTACACAAGAACCATGTTTGTAACTAAGGAAACACTCGTAGGATGCAAGTGATGTGCGCACGTTAACTGCTTGACCGAATCATGAAATCTGTTTGAACAGGCAAGAGATTTTACAAAACAAGGTGTGTGTGTGTGTGTGGGGATCAATTATCAACTCCATATTTTCTCTTTTGGCCCAGGGATGGGAAGAAATGAGCCAAGACCCTTTTTCCAGAATGGTGAAATCAAGGGTAATTCTTGTCCGTGCAGTGCCATACTGAGTCAACCTGTGAAGCTTTGTGCAAATTACCCTGCTGGGTCTTGTAGCAGCACATGCCCCTATGGGAAGTGGCTGTAGCCACTAGCCATTGCGTTCCATAGGCATGCATATGACTTGGTTCGGGACATGATTTCAACTGAGTCTACATCTGAATCTGAGTTACATGTAGGTCTAGGTCTTCACTCCATTGGGAGTATG